CACTCTCACTTATTGATTAGTTTCTCTCGTTCTGTCTCTCTGCAAACAGACGGCATTAAAAACAAATATTCAATATGTCATCTAAATGTGCAGTAAGCAGGCAGCAGACAATATATTGTTTGTTTAACGATTCGCGCCGACTGCTTTGTCTAAATTGACGGTAAAGAGAGAAGTCGTTTGCTGAAGGTGCACGTCTTTATTCTTTTGATTATAACCGTGACTCCAAATAAATTGAAAGCAAATGTGGTTTGGAATAACAGGGCCGGGCACGCTCTCACAAAACGCTCGCTCGTTTGACCATTTTCTTCACTTAGAAATTGCTTATTTATTTAATGTGAAATATGAGAGGAATGGCTTTATAGTGTGAAAGAAATGATAAAAGTCTAATGTTAAAATAAAAGACAAAACGGTGCCGTAGCCTCTGCGTCTGCAGGACAGTAAATAATGAAGTTTATATCCTTCAGTATACGTTTTTAAATCTCTTAAAACATATTGTTCGGTAGCCTACATATCTGAGTAGGTGCTGTTTTAATTAATATGTATTTGATTGTTTTTGTTGTGCTATTGTTTAGTTAATCTTGCTAGTTAATCAAGCACTGTGGTCGGTTTTGAAATATGTTGTATAAATAAATAAACTGCTAACACTTTACAGTAAGGTCCCGTTAGTTAATATTAGTTAGTGCATTAATGCAACTAACAATGAGCAAAATATTTGTTACAGTATTTATTAATCTTTGTTGACACTACTGTAGATCATAAAAATGCATTTGTTGGCATTCGCCTGGCATTAAATATTAACAGATGCAGCTTTTGATTTTGATCTGTTAGTAAATGTAAAAAATTGCCATTTCACTGTAAAAAAAAAAAATTATTTCAAAGTTGTAAATAAAACAGAGATTATTGGAGTACGCTTTACAAGAAAATATTATTTCAGTCTTCAAATGTTCATGTTTAATTAAATGTGTAACTTGCCGTTTCTTTAGTAATTAATTGTGAAATTTGGCCATTTTTGAGTGAAACTTGTTTCTACACCAAATTTTTTTTTACAGATTTAGAAGTGTTTTTCATGCTTATTAATGTCTTTAACCGAATGAAGCCTTATTGTAAAGTGTTACCAATAAACTGAACTAAAATCGCTTTATATTGATGAATATTATTTTGAAGGTACACCTAAAAAATTGGTCTAGAAACACGTTTTTATTCATACATTGCCAGTAAATTTCACAAATAATTACAAAGCATTGTTGCACATGAAGTAGAAAGACTGAAATATTATTTTCTTATAAAACATACTCCAGTAATCTTAATTTTATTTACAACTTCTACAGTGCATAAACAAAACTCAAAAGACGTGTATGCAAGCTGCTTTTTGAAGAGCGGCGATGGAAATGAAGCATGGAGAAATATTAAAGCACAAAAGTCACAGATGCTTACTTTGAGAATATTTCCTGATTTGAGAGAAACTATAGCAAATTAACTAATGTAGCAATGGCTGACTTCATCTTATGTATCTGGAGTAGAGTACTTGGCACGTCCCTACTGAAGAAAACACCATTAATGTGTGCATTTATTCACTGTATTCTGGTTTTTGCACAGCCTTTTCTCAGCAAGAAACGGTCCAGTAATTCCAGTCAACAGTACTGAAATGATATTCAGAAGTTCAAACGGGACGGCGGCGCTGCAATGATGGTTTGGAAACAAATAGCATAAATTATTCAGCGAGAGAGAGAGAGAGAGAATAGACTGTGATTGATTGGTGGTTTTCGTGGAGTCGTACCTTTTTTTTTGTCCCAACAAAGGTTCCAATCACAGAATTCGTCCGTAATATGAAAATTCACTCAATGAGCCCATTGGCTTTGCCGGCCGTCTCTCTCTCTCTCTCACTCTCTCTCTCTCTCTCTCCCTCCCTCTCTTGTCATTTGTGTGTTCGGCGCCCAGATTAAAGAGCAGGGTGATGCTCTTGGCCGGCAGCGGTTGCTATGGAAATGGGGTTGCCGTCGCTATGATAGGCCATTCATGTTTGATTAATTGGTTTTTCAATGCTTCTTGGTTTGTGAAAGCCCTTAAAGAGCAACTCCACGGAAAATGGAAAATTAATGGATTCTCTCTCCCTCTCTCTCCAACATTAAAGCTACTTCGCTGCATTTGAAAATTGAACTAATGGTGTTGCTGAAATGTGATTTGAGGCTGGAGGTTGTGTTTGGGCTGCTTGTGGAGGGGCTGTTGAGTATTGGAGATCTGAAACGTCTAAATGAAGAAAGCCTTTGTTTCAGGTCTGCTTTTGTACCGACGCATAGTAGGATGTCCTGTAGATTCCAGGCTAATTCATCTGCATTAACAAAAAGCTGTGCGTTTGTGAACTTCATGCATTTTTCTTGCACTTTCATTTTAAATTTCATCTATTAGCAAGTCTGGAGAGGTTAATTAGCGCTATTACAAGCTCTCGCTAAGATCACAGCCGTTACGGTAATGTTTACCAAGAGCCGCTCGGCCCAGACCTCTCCGACTTCATTAATCATCTTAAAAGCACACAGTTGATCCGTAATGTTTAATTCAGCTCAACTCGTGAATGTTGCATGGCGCTAATAAATGCTAGTTCATCAACTTTCTCCCTCTATTTCTATTACTTTTTGATTCGTGGTTGGCTAAGTATTCCTATTTATGTGTAAATGAATACATCCGTTCGCGGTCCTGCCGTCGACATCTCCTGATGAGATGCTTTTGAAGAGCGGCGATGGAAATGAAACATGGTGAAATATTAATATACACGAGTTACAGATGCTTAGTTCGAGAGGATTTCAGGATTTGAGAGAAACGAGAACTGTTGCGTTTTTAGCAAATTAACTGATTTAGCAATGCCTGGCTTCATCAAAGAGTGTCTGTCTTTTTTTCTTTATGCTTGTGGAAGAAAGGTACACATGTACTGTATATAAAATATGGTGTGCATGGAATTTCAGCATTGCAAAAACCTGTGTCTAATTAACTAAACACCCACAATCAAGTTTAACAGGTGCTAAATGCACTAAAATAGTGATGCACATTTGCAAGATTGAGAATTGTGCCATGCAAATTGCATTTTGGCCACAATTCCTTCAGTAAATACAAGTGGAATTTGCTTTACCGAGTATACTGTATGATAATAATAATGCATGTTAAATAAAGAGTTGCATCACCATGTGTGGCATTTCAGTGCAAAATCCTTCATCTTATTAACTAAACACCCACAATCAGCCCAAAAATTTTAATAGGTGCTAAATGCACTAAAATAGTAATAGAATTGCGCCATGAAAATTGCATTTCGGCCACAATTTATTCAGAAATTTTGAAATTTCTCTCTATATAAAAAGGGGTTTTTGCTGTACTGTATATATGGTAATAGTAATGCTTGTAAAAGACAGAGTTGCATTGCATTTCAGTGCAAACAATTTAACCACGGGCTAAATGCACCATGCAAATTGCATTTCAGCCACAATTTATTCTTAGTGAATTCCCTTCTGTATATACAAGTAGAAATTGCTTTATGGTGATACTAGTATAAAAACTCATTATGCATGGTATTTCCATGCAAAATCCTATGTCTTATTAACTAAACACTCACAATTAGGTTTAACAAGTGCTAAATGCACTAAAAAAGTGATCCACAGTTCCAAGATGGAGAATTGTGGCATGCAAATTGCTTTTCGGCCACAATTTATTCTCAGCGAATTCTCTTCTATGTATACGGTATAAAAGGGGTATTTGCTTTACTGTGAATATATAGTAATATTAATGCATGTAAAATAAGAAGTTGCATTGCATTTCAGTGCAAAATATTTAAGCAGGTTCTAAATGTGCTGAAATACAAAAGAATTGTGCCATGCAAATTACATTTCGGCCACAATTCATTCTTAGTAAATTCCCTTTCGTATACACAAGTGGAATTTGCTTTACTGTATATATGATAATACTAATGTATGTAAAATAAAGAGTTGCATTGCATTTTAGTGCTAAATGCACTAAAATACACTTATAATCGCCCTGTGCAAATTGCATTTCAGCCACAATTCATTCTGTATATACAAATGGAATTTGCTATACTGTAAATACTGTAGATAATTCTTATGTATGGAAAATAAGAGTTGCATCATTATGCATTTTATTAACTAAACACCTACAATCAAGTTTGACTGGTACTAAATAGTGATGCACAATTGCAAGATGGAGAATTGTGTCATGCAAATGTACTTCTTAGCAAATTCTCTTCTATATATACAGTATATATATATACTGTAAATTGGGTGTTTGCTTTACTGTATATATGGTAATGCTAATGTATGTAAAATAAGGAGTTGCATTGCATTTTAGTGCAGGAAAGTTAACCAGGTGCTAAATGCACTGAAATGCACTAGAATCACCCCGTGCAAATTGCATTTCGGCCACAATTCATTCTTAGCGGTTTCCCTTATGTACATAAAAGTGGTATTTGCTTTATATATGGTAATTTTCATAACTGTTTCTTCATATATGGTTTATTTAGCTCATGTGAAGGTATCATGTGGTGAATTCTTACTGTTGTTTTTAGTTGTCAAGTCACTATTGTGGTTGCTCTGGGATTCTTCCGGGTCGAGCACCAATGGCGTTGTGACTTTCTAGCTTTGAAATTCATGCTGAGAGAAGTGTGGTTGATGACTTACTGTAAATGACGCTTATCTATCTAGATCTCTCTCTAATCTGTTTATGATATAAGTCAGGTTGAAACTATAAAGGACACTTTCAAAACCCCAAGGTTCACATGCATTGCGATTTGTACAGTACGTGTTTGTGTCAACGTATATCGTTTGATAAGAGATCCACTTTGTAGTGCAAAAGTCATTATGGAATTGACTAAACTAGCCACCGGTAATCAGACGGCCGCTTCAAAGGGTGAGGGAAGAAGCTAGTGTCTTTGTAGATTGGCCTCAATTGGTTATTTCGTTTCAAAATTCCTCCTAGTAAAGTCTGGTCTTCTTCTCTCACCCTAGATGCCGGTGTTTGCGGGGCAATTGGGCGGTCATTACCCCCGCGCCCACCACAGCCCCATGCTAAACCCATCTGCCCGGATACTGCCCCACCCCATGAGCGCCCTGTCCCAGCTCAGCTCTCAGATTGGCCAAGGCTCCTTTACACACGGTTCCCCGTCATCGTCAGGAAGTCAGTCAGCCACACCCTCCCCCTCAAGCTCCGCCCAGGAAGAGGAAGCAAAGTACCACTCAAAGGTACAAGAACGAGAACAACAAAGCGCTGGCGTTTTGCAGGGCGTGAAACTGCACGATATTTAACAGTAGAATGCAGCTCAATAGAGAGCGTTTTCTCCTTAGATTGAGATCTTGATTACACTTTACAGAAGCATTTATTGATGCATTTGGTATTATGAACTAACAACACTTTTACAGCATGTATTCATCAAAGTTGATTTATAAATATAATATTGTTCTTCATTGTTAATTAATGTTTGTTCATAACATATTAACCCATATCAATTTATGCAACTTGAAATGTGGAAATTATCGTGAACCTTGATTAATACATGCTGTAAAATTATTGTTCGTTCGTGTTAGCGATTGCAGTGTGTTGTAAGCATTAGTGACTTTTCATCATTGATGCATTAAATTGATCAAAAGTGACAGTAAAGACATTTATAATGTTACAAAAGATTTCTTTTTCAAATAAATGCTGTTCATCTGTGAATCCTGAAAAATAAAACGCATCATGGTTTCCACAAAAATATTGGGCGGCACAGCTGCTTTCAACATTGATAATAATCAGAAATGTTTCTTGAGCAGCAACTCAGCATATTAGAATGATTTCTGAAGGATCGTGTGACACTGAAGACTGCAGTAATGATGCTGAAAATACAGCTTTGATCACAGAAATAAATTACAGTTTAACATAGATTCGCATAGAAACAGCTATTTTAGGTTTTTTTAATATTTTGCAATTTTACTGTTTTTACTGTATTTTTAATCAAATAAATGCAGCCTTGGTGAGCAGAATAGACTTTAAGCTGTTTCGCCTCTATTTCCGTTTCCATGGTAACTAAAGCTTCCCTGATTGGTGGATTTTTCTCATCAGAGTTATAGGCAGGATGGTTAGTCACTAGGAATTTGGTTATTAAACACAAGCAAAGTTGAAATCACATTTGCTACAGTATCATATATCATCAGTGATCTCATGGCAGGTCTCTCTTGAAAGGTTTACATGTTATCGTTAAAAATCTGTTCCTCTATGGAAAAGAATGAATGTGATTTTTACTTCCGGAATCCGTCTGTTGCGCTCTATAGAGAAGCATAAACGGCAGACTTTGAGAGCTTTGAGAATAATTTCCCCTCTTTATTTAAAAGCAAACGATTTTCCGTGTGTCTCAATAGTGTTTACAAATCTCTGCATTTTAACTTCACATCTTGACGTCTTTTGTTCACTGTGATTTGTTGGCAAAAACATTACTCTGTTTCTCTCTCTCTCTCTCGCTCTCCCTCTCTATCCCTCTTTTCATTTTCATTGTCCCAGAAAACCAATTACTCCTGCTTGTCCGTCATCCTCTCCTTTTATTGGAAGTGTCAGTTTGAATTTAATTTGAATGTTGCATGTAATGCACAAGGCAGCTCGAAATCCCTCATTATCGCGACGCTGCATGCTTAATTGGATTGGAGAACACAAAGAGCGAATTAACTTACATGATGTTTAAATCACATTGTTCTTCAGCGGGCTTATGGAAGAGTCCGGCCTAATACAGCACAAAGTCCGGTGCAATTATACCTGGTCCGGGTAGATTTAAAAAGCCAGTCAAAATAGTGAAAGAAGTATTTCAGTCAGCCTGAAATCCTGGTGGATTTTAATAATAACGCCGTCTGGACAACAGAAACAATTAGCACATTTCATTCCCATCGGTATTTCTTTTACTGGAAATGCTTGCAAACACAATTCTGCTCATTGACACGTACAAATGCACGCTAATGTATTTAAACTCTTTGACACTGACACAAACACATTCATCCTGCGTTTCATTTTCCTCTGGAATGTGCCGTGCGCTCATGGATGGCATATGTGTGTTTGTTTGCACTTAATTAAATTCAATGTATATAAATCTAAAGCATTTAATGGCTGGATTCCAGTCAGTTTCCAGAATGCATGTGCTGCTTTTTAGCTTGTGTCTGTGTGTGTTTGACATATGTTTTGTATATTCATGCATGTGAACGTGTGCTTTTGCATGCATTAATTGAATCCTTTAGTTTGGAAATATGCAGCTGTGCACATATAAGGACGTGTGTGCACATGTGGAAAACATACATATAGTCATGCACATACTAGTGAATAAAACTCTTCATCATGTTACTGTAATGCATGCAAACACAAAACAACACATGAAGAATGAACACTGCATTCTCAGTGCTGCCACAAGTGGCGCTGTAGCAGCATCGACAGGCAGTGCACTATACTACATACTCAACATATTCACTGTACAAAAGAGAGAAAAAGAAAATTGGACTGACAACATGTTTGGACTTGATTCAAATCAAAACCTCACTCTGTACTTTGTTGCACAAATCTCATGACAGATTTGAGAGACACATACAGTATGCTCACATTAATATTTTTAGAATGGAATTAGATTAATTCACACTGACAGCTTCATTTTTGGACATGCAAAAGTTTATTTTCTGTGTTGATGTATTTCTATTTAGAAATTCTGTGTTTTTCTGGCGAACATTTCATTGAAATCAAATTTGGACACACCACTATAAGCATAACAATGTCTAATATTGGTCCATCTTTTGAGAAGAGAAAGTCATTTTGTTCACTTTTAGTACCTTAAAGATATAAAGTAAATGCAACAAAGGTCCAATTTTAATATATAATTTAAAAAACACAAGAGTATTTGTTTCATAGACTGGGTTAAAGCTAGTGTTAGATACAGTTATAATTTTTATTAATATTTTGAATTAGTTTTATTTTTATTTTCCATTTTCATTTAAATTTTAGTTAAAGTTTTAGTAATTTTGTTGTGTGTTTCTGTCATTTTTAGTATTTCTTTTACATGTTTATATAGTGTTTACAAATGTTTGTTTCAGTTTTAATTATTTTAGTATATCATATTAAACTAAATTAAAATAATAATGTTGTCTTGGCATATATATATCATAGACTGTAAAAAACATGGACGTAGTGTCCGTGACGTCACCCGTTGAATTCTGAAGAGCTTTATTGAAGCCCAAAGTGGGCGGAGCCGGTGGTCTCCATCTTGGCAGCGCGTCACCGCGCGTAACTCCCGGACAATCGAAAATGGGCAAAGAGACGGGACGTGGGTGGCGCTGAGGTGCTCAAAGTGTTCACTGCACAGACGAGTAGCCTTTTTAGGAGTCCAATTCTGTCGCTCCAAAGAGAAAGGAAAACTTGAAATCGCATCATATGACCCCTTTAACTATAATCCTGGTCAAAGCCGCATCTTTTAAGAAAGTAAATAGAGTTTTTAATTTCATGTTGACTTTACGACACATTTTGACTCTGCTTAATGACTCTAATATTGTTTTATATGATGATGATCATGTAAATCACATGTAAAGTCAGACGTGTATGGAGATTATACAGCGGTCTGTTTTAATGGAGCATCAGCCAGCCTTTCATGCTACATTTCCTCTCTTCAAATTAGTTTTTTTTTTTTGCTACATTGAAAATGCTGATGAGAGAGAATGATGTTATCTAACCATCAAGTTCTGCCCTAGAAACCTCTTTCACTCGTTTGCTTTAACTCTTCTGTGTTTTCAGTCCTGTTAAAGACAAAGATGTATTGTTCCTTTGTTTCTTACCACCACTCTTTCTATCCTCCTTCCACCGGTTTAAATAATGCAATTGTATTTCTTTATTTTAAATGCACAGCGGTTTTAGATGAAGAAACGCGTATTAGTGCGCATCAGACATGAGATGATGCAGCACTGATTCAAATGGGATATTAACAACGTCTGCTGGTCTCTCTGCATTAAGAAATCAATTTCAGCCGCAATGTTTCAAGAGAGTCCATGAGCTGTCAGAGCAGATTACGGTGCCGTCGCTTGACTGAAAGCATTCTGGAATTCAGTGCATCCCATTTTTATTTCATGATGTTTGAAGATAAAAGACAACCCACATTTGCATAGCCAAACATGCATATAACTGGAACAGCAGTGCATGTTGGGAGACGCAGGCTGTGGGTGTAGACGCACTCGAAGAACTCTTACACTGTAAAAAATGATTGTGATTTTAACAGTAAAAGACTGTAAAAAATGCTACAGTAAAAACCTGTTAACTGGTTAACAGTAAGTTTCCCTACTATATACGGTGAATAAATGTAATTACATTTAATGTAATTTTACAGTAAAATACTACAAAACTCAAAAGTCTACAAGACTACAAAAGTCATTGTATAATTTACAGTGAAAAACCGTAAATTGACACTCCCAGAATTCCCTGTATGACACTTCATATTTGATGTTTTTTGTTGTTGAAATAACATGTTTCTTCTTCGTTTTTTCTTATCAGATGTGTACATTAGGGTTTAATCTTACATCTAATGTTGTTAAATTAATGTTTATTGCATTATTTCAGTATCATGTGTGTCACCATGATGGGGTTTAGTGTTTGTGTGAATGACATTGTGCTACTTCTATGTAAAAGTATTGCCCTCCTCAGCTCGTAGAAAAGCTGTTTGTGATGAGCTTTGGTTCATCATGTGACTTTCTCATTACCACCAGTTTTTGGTGGTTATCAGTGCATTTCAATGGTTCAAAACAGATATTAACACTTCAATATGATGGTTTATTAACATTACATCAGTTAATGAAATACGGTATTTTATTGTTAATTTAAGTTAAATCTGTAAAACCTAAAATGTTGCAATCATATTTTTTACGGTGAAGTTATGGCAACCACAGCTGCCGGTATTTTACCGTAAATGTCACCGATTTTTTTTTACAGTGTAGATATCAACAAACTACACATGCATTTAATATTTCATTTTCATACTCTGCTCATCAAAGAAACTGAACTAGAATGACTTCCAGCGCTGATTTGTAGTCACAATGTGAAACATATTTGTTGAATTGCATGTCTTGTTGAGGATGGATGAATGGTTGATAGATAGATAGAGAGATGAATGGATGGATGGATGGTTGGATAGATAGATAGATTCAATTTTTCAGGATTCTTTGATGAAAAGAAAGAACAGCATGCATTTGAAACAGAA